TGAGATTTGCAGATGTAAATCCCACTACATTTCCAAGAGCATGAGGATTAATCTGTTCAGCCAACAGAGCCACACAGAGGAAACACTTTCCATTTTCTGGGAAACATTTTAATGCTTCTTTTCTTTAGATTTTCCTAAGACTTGACTTGGAAGAATTTAACTAACACGTAGGGACAAGACAAGAACACCCATGCATCGCCAGGAGCTTCTGTCCCACATCACAACCACATGGTGCCAGCACGAGGCCTCCCAAACGCCAGTAGGCACCATCCCTGGTCCTGGTCCAACAGACTTGTACCAGCAGCATAAAATTTCTTCCAATCTCAGACTTTCTGGCTCCAGAGGCAGTTCTGCAGGCTCGTTCTCCTCTCAACCGAGAATGTGTCTTTCCTCTAACACTAGCTGGGAAGGACATCACACACAGCCCAACCCTTAGCCACAGCCACATCTTCCACCCAAGGAGGGTATGAAGACACACCACCACTTAAGAATGTAGGTATCTGTATTTGCTCCCATGTCTCGTTACATTTTCCAGTCTAACCCCAAGGCCTTTTGTTTCTTGCAATGGTGCCATTGGATTTATTGCTACAGACAAGTTCAGTAGATACTTCCCATAATAATTAGCCAGAGAAGAGCGAAATCTCAGTTCTGTGATGCTCTCACACTCAGTTACTTTGGATGCTGCCTCTGTTCAGTGTGCCAAAAGCTTTGAGGCTTCCACAATCAATCAAGTGACCCAAGTCAGTCACTCATGGCTAGGAAAAGGCACATTTCTCCTTTCTCACCACCGATGCCAAGCAGCTGAGACAACCCCCTCCTTTCTGCCACCACCAGTGGCCCATTCCACCAGCCTCCCAAGCAGCAAATCCAGAGCACGCAAATGATCAACCGTGCCTACACCTTCCCCCTTTCCTCTCCTGAGATTTCCAGATGCCGCAGAGGTGAGCGGCACTGGTGGAACAGGAGACAAGTGGGAAGGGGGGCATATAGAACATGTGCCCAGATGGAACCCAGGGAGAAAAAAAAGCCGCTCTGCCCACACCCAGAGATTCATGTTCCTCTGTGGGAAGGACCAAAGGCGGAGAGGGAGATCCATTTAACTACTTCATGTTATGGAACACAGGCCACCACTGCAAAGCAACACAAGTCTGGGGAACCTACATGCTCATGGACAGGAAAGCACCGTTGTGTTAAAACCAAACAAAAAAAATATCACAACAGCCATTCTGAATAATTCTACTGCTTCAGTGCAGGAATCTCCTCTGGGAATTGCAGGGTTGAAGGGCAAACAGGCAGACTAGCGATGGGATTAAGGGCAGAGGCTGGAGGATGAATGCAGCAGGCAACAAGGTTCTTCATGGGCACACTCTCCGGGCTGATTCCATCAGATCAAATCACTGTGATGCTCTGTACCTAGTGCTGAACATCACGAGGTTCAGGACAGGCTATCCTCCAGATTAACAAAGGCTCAACTTTTAAACAAAAGGCACCTACGGAAGAGCCCAGCTAACCAGCAATCTGACAAGTAGACTCCCCATGCCCCACAAGACGAACCTCTGTGCAAAGTAAATCATACACAGATACAAGCTAAAAAGTTTGCTGGAACAATGACCACTCATTTGGCTATTCGCAGACAAGGCAAGTTACAGCCCAGAGGCAGTAACTACAGATTGCATTATGCAGCTGCCAAGCAGTTCAAATCACTCTTACAGCAAGTCTCACTTTTTAATCACCTCAATTATAAACGCAGGAATTCCCACCCTTGTCAAGCCAAGCTTCACACTTGAGGAAATCGTCCTCTGCTCCTGTCGGAATCCTGCTCCCTGCCCTGATGGTGCTCCCCAAATGGGCCCTGCATTCCTCCAAGTCCCTCTCCATCCTCTCAGGATTTGCAGACCAAGGTCATGCCATTCCTTCCCTCCCCGCCAGCACTCACCCAGCACACTTCACCCAGGATGGTCAGGCCTCCCTCAAAAAAACCCCAGCGCAGGAATAGCCAGGCTGGCCCCACTCAGAGCCAGCAAAGGTCCTCTGCTCAGACACCCTCATCCCACACCTACTGCTGCTCTGAAAGCAGCTATTATCTGTCCAGAAAGTGCTTAGATTAGCGTCTGCTACTGGCACTAGGAATAGGTGCTAATTAACTAGTTGTCAGCTGAATGCTGCTAAATCAAGAACACAAAATTAAAGCCAAAGTATTACAAGGGGCAAGGAAAGCTTGAAGGGACTATTGTTCATTTAAGAACTTCTTTTCCTGTATTTTTAAACATTTAGAAGTTGCAGTCCAAATAATTGCTTGTCAAGACATTATTTGGGAGAATAACTGTAGCTATTAAGCAAGCTGTGTAATTATGTTATTAAAAATATAACACTGTTTTGAAGCCTTTGAGAGAACAGACCTCTACCTAACACAAAATCACCACAGTTTCATTTTCCTCCCCCTCTCCTGGCTTCAATCCCAAATCACGAGTCCTAGCTATCTCTCAGAAGTTGGCTATGACGACGTACATCCCTGGATGAGGAACCACTGCTCTGAACTACTGGTCAGGTACACGCAATGCTTCTGTTTTGACTCAGAAAAGCATGTTTGGTAAACCAATAGGAAACAACAACAACAACAAAAAAAAAAAAAAAACACCACCAAAAAAACCACCACAAAACTATAAGCTACAGACAAAAACTCAGCTCTCCAAGCCAGGCGCTCCTTTCTGCCTAAGGTGGTCGATTCAGGATAAGGAGTCTCCTGTTTCTCCAGGGGGCACAACTAACCCTGAGCACAGACAGACCTGTCTCTGGGGAAGTAAGGGAAGCCCTGCCCCACAGCTACAGCTCTGCAGGCCAGACCCATCTCTGGGGGAAGAGAAGGAAAGATCACTGGAAGCTGTTCAGCAAAAGAGAGCACTTGTTATGCAATTTCCATTTCTGCTGACAAACAACATATTTATAGGACAGGTAAAGTAAACTACATGGCCTGCAAGGCTCAGCAGTCTGAAACCAGGAAGTTAATAGACCCAGAGGGCAAGGAATTGGTTCCTGATGTTAGCAAATGGGATGTCACAAAAATGAGACAATTAAATTTTAAAGCAGCGGGGAAAACAAAAGAGCAGGAATCACAATAGCCAAGTCTCATAAAGAGCTGCTTCTTGGGTACAAGAAGATAATGACGCTAACCATTTTTCTACTAGATGGCAGTGTAGTGTCACGCTATATAAAAGGAATTCTAGAAAGAAATTGCTTTCTATTTCAAGGGAATTTGTGCTTAGACTTGACTTCAGATAGCATGATATACAACAGTACCCTCATTGTAAGGGGACCTGCCATTAGTTTAACAGCGCAACCGGTGCGATACTGTCCTGGTTTCAGCTGGAATAAAGTTAATTTTCTGCCTAGTAGCTGGTACAGTGCTGTGGTTTGGATTTAGGATGAGACTAATGTTGCCAACACACCGATGTTTTAGCTGTTGCTGAGCAGCGTTTACACCAAGTCAAGGACTTTTCAGCTTCTCATGCTGCCCTGCCAGTGGAGGCTGGGAGCACACAAGGAGCTGGGAGGGGACACGGTCGGGACAGCTGACCCAAACAGCCAAAGGGGTATTCCATACCACATGACGTCATGCCCAGTACATAAACTGGGGGGAGTTGGCGGTGGGGGGGCACCACAGCTCTGGGATGCAACTGTATTGTGCATCACTTGTTTTTTATACTTTATTATTATTATTACCATTAAATTCCCTTCCTTTTCTGTCCTATTAAACTGTCTTTACTCAAACCACAAGTTTTAATTTAATTTTTTTTTTTATTCTCTCCCCCATCCCACAGAGGGTGGTGAGTGAGCGAGCGGCTGCGTGGTGCTTAATTGCCAGCTGAGGTTAAACCACAACAGATACCCTAGCTTCTAATTTCCCAGCAAAGCAATGTGAAAAGACACTAAAACCCTGAGCTGTTCTGCTACACCGTACAGCTGCATGCACAGCCGCAGACAGGCTACTCAATCTGTTACAACCAAAGGTAGGCTGGAATCAAACAGCTCCAGGAGCAGAGGAAGCAGGTTCTCACTGGTCAGGAGAAGCCAGCTGGGCTTTCAAAAGGCAGTGGCAGCATTTAGGCAACCACCTAGCTATGGTCAGGCAAGGTTAGCCACTTCAAAGGAAGGTGGAGGGATGAAGAGAGCCATGCCACGAAAATTCAAAACGCAAACAGAAAATAAACAAGGTTGGGGCTGAAGGGCAATGCAAATATTTGCAGGTAATTCAGCCACGAGAGTCATCTTTATTTTTCAAGGCCGCCATCCGCATAAGCTAAACTTCAGATGTAACAAGACACAGTGTCTCACCAACACTCCCCAAACCCGCGTGGATTCCTGGCGCACACGGGAGCTACAGCGCGTGTACCCAGGGAGCTCAGCACAACGGGGCGATTTGGTAGAGATGGAAAACCTCCGAGGGAAGGCTGCAGGCAGCCGGAGGCCCCTCGTTTGTGGGAGAGGCCGCACCGGGGGGTCCCCGGGCCGTGGGGTCACCCTGCCCGGTGCTCACTGCTGCCGGGGACCGGGCTGCAACTCCCGGGGCTTTCCCCACCAGCCGTTCCAATCGCGACAGCCCGCGGGACATCGGTTAAAACACTGAACTCGCAGCAGAGCCGGGTTTTGTTTGCTCCGAAGGCGCGCTGCGCCCACCGCGGCGGTACCCGGGCCGGTTTGGCTGCCGGAGACACACACCCCCCCCCCCCCCCCCCACCGCCGTTTGCAGCGTGCCGGGGTGCTCGGTACCGACACCCCCACCCCAAAAAAAAAAAAAAAATAACCAACCAACCAACAACAACAAAAAAAAAAAAACACAACAAAACAAAAAAACGCAGCAGCATCCCTGGCACGGCTGCGCCCCGGCGGGTCCATCGCCCATCCCGCCGCCGGGGAGGGACCGGGGAGGGGGGGGGGTGGGGGGGCACGGGAAGGCCCTCGCCCACCCCGGGGCAGATCCCCCCCCCCCACGGCCTCCTCACCTGGAGGGCCGGAGCCGCACCTCCTTCTTGCTGTCCACCACGGAGGGGACGCAGTTGGTGAGCTCGGTCCAGTCGGCGTGCAGCCCGCAGCTCCAGCCGGTGGAGAAGCGGGAGAAGAGCCAGGTCTCCCGCTTGCCGGGCCGGTGGCAGGTACACTTCTTCTGCCCGGCGCGGCACTCGCAGGGCTGCTCCAGCTGGATGTTGCGGACCAGGTGCCGGCCGAAGGTGGTGCCGCCCGTCTTCTGGATGTGCAGGAAGACGATCAGGTCGTCCCCCTTGATGTTGAAGTCCACCCGCCGCAGCAAGTCGCCGGCGGAGAAATTGAAGCGGGGAACGAACCGCGCCGGCGTCTCGTCCTCCGCCCGGTACGGGTCGGCGGCAGCGGCGGGGCTGAGGGCGCGGAGCCGCAGGAGCTGGCACTCGGTGCCCGGGCAGACGTACTGCAGCACGATCACGGCGAAGAGGAAGAGCATCACCAGAGCCAGAAGCACCTTGTGGGACCGGTCCTCCATCGTCGCCGGGAGCACCGCGCATCGCCGCCGCTCACCGCGGGGGGCCGGCCCGGCCGCGCTCCGCCGCCATCGCCCCGCCGCCTCCCCCTCAGCCGGCCCTTCCCGGCAGCCCCCGCGCCGCCTCCCCTCAGCCGGGACACGCCCCCTCGTCTGGCCACGCCCCCCCCGCCTCCGCCGGACCACGCCCCCGCCTCCGCCGGGGCTGGGGCCGGGAGCGGGGCGGGGAGCGGCGGGCGGTCCGGGCGCGCGGGGGCTGCTGTTTTTCTTGACGCCCCGGGTGGTTTCGGTCGATTCAGGTAGCAAACACACACACACACCAGCTCACCCCGAAACCCCTCGGCACGAGGAGCGTGTTCTGAAAATAAAACAGTAATAACAAGGACTCTGTGGCTTCATCTCTGATTACAGCCCGCGGTGTATTTATATCCAAATTATGATCGGCCCCCCCCCCCCCCCCCCCCCGGCTCCCGGCGTGTTGCTGATGTGGCCTGGTAGAGGGGAGCACACCGGTGCTCGCCCCAGCCGTGCTGCCAGCGCGGCCACTGAGCCACCGGTCACCGCCGTGGCCCAGGGCCACCTTCCCGCCACGTGCCACCGCGCCCCGGCGGGCCCAAGGAGCGTGGCACAGCAAGTGACCCGCGGCTCCTTTCTTTCCCTGGCGGGTGCAGCTGAAGTCAGGGCAACTCAAGTCTGCGAGAGCTGCAGCCTCGCAAGTGACTTCGAAAAAGCAAATAAAAAATGAACTGTCTGCCCCATTTTCACCCCACCCCCGGGGTCCTTCTGTCGTTTCAAAGAACAGCAGCTGGGGGGGACATCAGGTTTGGCTGCCCCCCAGTTTAACTCTGACGTTAAACTGCAGACGTTATGCAGAGGTGCTGCATCTTGCAACGCTCCTTCCATCTCACCGACCCGTGACTTCAGGCAGGGCTGGAAATGTCCGAGCTTCTCCTTCCCCTCCCGGGCAGGAGGAGGGAGCAGCCCTCCCCACCGCAGCGCCTCAGCTTGCGCTCCCCTGATGCTTGCCATGCCTCTGTTTCTCTGCCCGACCAATCAGCCAAGAGCTGAATTTTCTAATATGCAAAGCAGACAGCAAAGAAAATAATTTGAAAACACTCTCCCAGACCTTATCCATTATAAAAAGAAAAAAAGAAAAAAAGAAAAAAGAATGGCCTGCATCCCGTCTCCTCTCATAGCAATACACTTTAAGTAATTTTACCAGGTACACGTGGTGTTTGGAGGGGATATCTTTATGGTTTTCATCCTCCAGCAACCTATCCTGTCTTTCCTATTTTTTTTGCAGTTGTCTCTAATATTTTGAAAACATGTACACTCACAATAATAGGCAATTTTATCACAAAGATTCTAGGCATGAGAACTACTGAGTTAATTTGCTTCTGTTTATATCTGTATCTCCAAAATGAATGGATTGCACCATTTAATGAAAACGCTGTGTTCTGAAATTCAAGCCTTAAAATTATAAAGATGTTTCTGTGCTTTATATCCATCACTCTCTCACAGTCGTTTATATATAAAAAAATATGTTTGCCTCCAGCTTTATTTATTTTACATTATGAAATAACAAAGATGTGTGCTGGGTTAAAACCGATCCTGAATGCTAATATGTGAGAATTAAAAGGGGAGAATAATGATGGCCTAATGTCTACACTAAATTAATATATACTATAAAAGATATGATGCATGCTGGGTTGGTGTTCCCAGCAGAGCCGTTATTTTGGAATGGGCTAAACAAACAATGATCATCCTTTCACTGATGAGTGATGGTCTCCAGTCTGCTGCCTTCTCACCCACAGTATGTAAATGATGCTCCCTAGCTTTGATCCAGGGACACAAAACATTCGCTTAGGCACTAAAGAAATGAAAATCACCCCAAGTGGGATAAAAGTAGGACAGAACAGAGCTGTTAACGTTTTACAGCATCGGCTGGCCTGGCAGCTGGTTGAAGTTAAGAGGTCAAGCAAAAATACTGAACACCTAGTAACCCCAGTGGAAAAAAAAATAATCTCTGCTTTCCTCCCAGCACATGGTATCCTCACAGACCCCAAACACACGGTCCCTATTCCCACTCCCAACACACCACCCCTCTTCTCTGCTGACACAGGGGACCCCCCTGCCGCTGTGTGTGGGTGCACGGCTGCGCCCAGGCGAGCACATGGGTAAGGTGTAAGGCCACTTCTCCTCTTCTCTCCCACCTACAAGCATCCATCCTCTCCTGCCGGCTGGTCCCTCCTGTCCCCCACCATGTCAGCAGCTGCCCCCCAGCACAACCTCCCCCCAGCACCTCCAGTCCAGTCCTGGCTCGTCCCTCCTGCTGTAGATGTGACAGCAGGGTCACGCTGAGCTGGCGCAGGATCTCGTCGTGGGCTGACCCCCCTTATTTACCCAAGGAAACCTTCAGAAAGACAGGGGTTTGTGTGCAAAGACACCACGTATTTGCCCAGAGACAGATCAATACAACACCTCATGCCTCAAGCCCTAAATTGATTTTTGCAGCTTTAGGAAACTATTGTTAGCTCTTCGTGTGGGACTGATCATCGCCTCCCTGTATGTTTTCTGAAGACCTTTGTTTTCACAGCAACTGAATTTCACCTCTGCATTTGGCTGGCAAACAGTGACTGCTTGGCCCTAACAAAAAGAAAACAATCAGCTTCGAGGTAAGGGGGCTGTTGGAGTGTAAAACTGAGCTTTGTTAAGCATTAATGCCTCCATCTTATTGAAAGGATCAAGGTTTCTTGTCAATCCAACCAGAGCAGCTCCTGTCATCCGCTGCTCCGCAGAGGTACGGGCAGGGGTGTGGGCATCTCTGAACCCCCTGGGCAGAGGGGCAGGATTGGGCCGGGGTAACCCCGGCTTCTGGGGCACCCTCGGCTGCTGGGAGGATGAGGTCTTTTTCAAATGAGAGGGGAAACCGTATTTGCACAAGAGCACAATTAGAATATCTTGATTAAAAGAAATACAAACGAGCCATTAACTTTGCTTTGCTAAATCTCCTGGTAATGTGATTCTTCTTACACTACCTGTGCAGGAAAGGGGATCAGATAAATAACTACAGAAAAACCTCCCGTGTCATGAAAATAGCGTATTTATTAAAATAACAAACACAACCATCACCGGCCCAACTGCTGCAGCTTTTCTTTAATGTCTGAAATTGCCTCTCTCGGATGGAGCTAGTGATGGCTAAACAGATTTGCAACAGGGGCATTCAAAAGCACTCTTCCCAACGTGGGTCCTCAAAATGGTGGAGAGGATGCTCCAGCCTTGTCCCCCACTGCCCCAGAAGAGCCTCCCCGCCCCCCCCCCCCCCCACACACACACTTCCATAAGACCTGTGCAAACTCAGTGCTTTAATAGTTTTACTTCTCTATCAAGCCTGGGTGAAACCGGATTATGGAGTCAAAAGATATTACTGGGGGATAGACAGGCAGCGTGAACGCACCACCCGAGGAAACAGGGCTTGGAAAGAGTGGGAAAGCACAGAGCAGTGAAATGGTCGTTGCACGAGAGAAGAAGCAGGGCCAAGAGCAAGGAAGCAGCCAGCAAAGGACCAAAGAAATGCTGTGGGGGCAGACTCATGGAAGCTCTGCTAGCACCTAACAGAATAAGGCCTTTATCTAGAAAAAGGGAATGCAAATTAGCAAAGGCATGGAGCAGCAGGGTGATGAGTAAAACTAATTAGAAAATGAGGCTTGATTATTCATGGACTTGACATATCAGAGAGCAGCTAATCAAAGGAATAATGCAAGTTTGCATATTCTTTGTAATGTGGGCATCAAAGCCTTGCTTCTTGTCACTATGGCATCACCGCTGCTCATTCCTAAAACCAAGCACATTTGATGCAAGCAAGTGTGACATCTCACTCTGGATCACGTGGCAGGGCTTGGAGAGCCTGAGTTGTCCAAAAGCACCTCTGTTTTTTCCAGCTATTGAGCTGATCTAGCAGTTATCCCTACTTATAGATCTTGCCTTCCTGAATACAAACATTGCCCAAAGCTCTTTTGAGTGTGTGGGAAACTGTGCAGCCTTTAAAAGCTTGAGACAAAGACCTGGAAATGCAAAGGACTTACCTTGCAAGATAATTGCAAGAGATTGCAAGATAATCCCTTAAAGTTTAATTTTGCTGCTGACTGATCACTAAATAAACTTCGTAGAGACCACACATGGGAAGACAGACTTGGTGGGAGGGATTTGCACTGTATTTGGTGGGTGCAGGAAGCTTTCAGAAGGACCTCCTTCCCAACACATAGCATCAGAAACCATCCACCCAGGCTGTTCATTGCAGCAAATCTTGGATTTTCACCATCAGCTGGAGCCAGACAAAAGACAATCTAGCTTCCAAGTTACAAGGCATCCACAGTATTTCCATTTCACACATAGATCTTGGTACTGTGAAAGGTTTTATAGGAGGACCTGATGTAGGGCTGGCATCTGGACATGTACCAAGCTTCTGGGCAACAGTCAGAGAGTGAATAAACGATACTATCCCATCACCACTGATTCTTATCCCAGCACGAATTTGGCTGAGAAACTGCTGAAACATCAAATTCCCTTTTGATGAGGACAGCCTGGGACAACTCCAGGGAACAGGATCCATGGGGATGAAAGGGCTCTTTCAAGTATGCCTCCGAGTCAGTGGGAAAAGTGAGACGTTGGGACTGCTCCTGCCACTGTTTGCTTGTCTGAATAATTACAGTGATGGGTATATTAATACCATCTGGCATTAGAGCCAAGGAGCAACCAGGCAGTGAAAGAGATTACTGGTGAGGTGTGTGAAGCACCCTTTTGGAGGTGCTTATGAGCAGATTAGTGGGAATTGGAAGGGGTGGGAGCCGCCCAGGGCTGCAGGCCATATGGTCCAGGGACATTCTGTGCCCACTTCCAAGATGAGTTGGGGGCTGGTCTGCAGTAGCAGCCTGGCAGATCACTCCTCCTTTCCCAATCTCCCCGTTTTTTAATCTCACAGCCCATGTCCTTGCATCCCAGCACAGGGCTGCAAGGAACTGGGAATCACACTCACAAACCAGCAGGTTCCCCCCAGCTCTTGTGTAATACAAACCTGGTGGATCTGACCTACTTTAGAACAAAACC